GGGAGGGAGGGAGGGAGGGAGGGAGGGAGGGAGGGAGGGAGGGAGGAAGGAAGGAAGGAAGGAAGGAACGAAGGAAGGAAGGAAGGAAGGAACGAAGGAACGAAGGAAGGAAGGAACGAACGAACGAATGAAGGAACGAACGAACGAAAGAAGGAACAAACGAAGGAACGAACGAAGGAAGGAAGGAAGGAAGGAAGGAACGAACGAACGAACGAACGAAGGAAGGAACGAAAGAAAGAACGAACAAACAAACGAAGGAAGGAAGGAACGAACGAAGGAAGGAAGGAAAGAACGAAGGAACGAACAAAGGAACGAATGAAGGAACAAACGAAGGAAGGAAGGAAGGAAGGAAGGAAGGAAGGAACGGTCTACAGTCCACAGTCCTAATGATGCTCCATGACCATTTTACTGATTATAATGAACCACTGAAGCCTCAGTAGATATTCTTTCTGTCGCTATGATGTTTGAATTTACAACATTTACAATCAATCCTATGACTCACCCATAGACCCTTTGGCACCTTTCTCTCCTGGCGTTCCTGGCAGACCTGGTAAACCTGCTTCACCTACAATAATCAAAGAATAAATCAGGTTCAAATGGTCCAGGTTCTGTAAGAGCAATAGGGCGTTACAGCAAACCTTTGAGTCCCTGAAATCCAGCAAGACCCCGGTCACCTGCAGAGTGACATGAGGTATTCTTAAATTCCAACAAAATTACTTTGATTGTATTTTATGTAATTACGTTATCAAATAATGTGCCAATCCCACCTTTAGACCCAGGTAGTCCAGCCTCACCACGGAAACCCTGAGGACCTGGTTGACCTGCAGCAAAAACACAATGAAGATCATCATCATTCATATTTTGAGCTCGTGCTGCATAATCAGAAAACGGAAAATGTTTGACACAAATAAAAAAAAGTGACCTGGAGGTCCAGCTGATCCAGGAAGTCCCTGAGCACCTGTGAACAAATGAAATAATTAACAATCAGTAATTAAGAAAAAGATCAATTAGTTAACAGAGTTTAATAAGACGATGCACAGAAGTCATAAAAATTATTTATATTCCATAACTGTGATGGTGAATGTCTTCCAATTCCTAATAAGCAATAAGCAAATAAATTTGTATTAAATGATGTTACAAATGGAAACAAATATGTTTGAGCACTTCTTTAAAAGCCGTTTTTAAATAATTGGCTTATACATCAAAACTAAAACTCACTAGTCCTGCTTTCTGCTATGGTTTCAACAGCAAAATAAGAAAAGCACCTAAATGTTTCACTTAAGAAGATATAAGTATATGACCCTACATGAGTACTTTCATTAAAAATTATTATTACAATCAGAATAAATTCATTATATTACATTATATTATATATTCCATCCATCCATCCATTATCTTTACCCGTTTATTCCATTTTGGGTCATGGGGGTCGCTGGTGCCCATGTCCAGCAATCACTGTGCGAGGGGCGGGGTACACCCTGGACAGTTTGCAAGTCCATCACAGGGCCACATAGAGACAAACGAGACAAACAACCATTCACTCTCTCACTCACACCTAGGGACAATTTAGAGTTACCAATCAGCCTAACATGCATGTTTTTGGTCTGTGGGAGGAAACCGGAGTACCCGGAGAAAACCCACGCATGCACGGAGAGAACATGCAAACTCCACCCAGAAGGCCCCTGGACCAGGGTTTGAGCCAGGGACCTGCTCGCTGAGAGGCAGCAGCTCTACCAGTTGCGCCACCGTGCTGCCTTATATTATATATTATTATATTAAACTATATTACAATCAGGAAATATGACTTTTTGTTGTTGCTTTCTTTGATTTTCCAGCTCAAGGTTGGATAGGTTGTGTCACTACTGTACTTTTAAATAACACACATGTGCAAAGGGCCTGAAGTGGAAACAAAATGGCTCATCTAAACCCTTCCACCAGATTAAAAAGACATATTTGAAAAGGAAGCTGTTGAAGTTGTTTATATTTGATGTTCTTTGGATTTAGGAAAGTCCCAGATAAACGTATTTTATTAGAACCACAGAATGAACTTGTGAAAATGTCGTAAACAACACTTTGAGTGTGACCTATGTCAAAAAGATCTTTTTTAAATATCAAATAAGTGATGTTATAAATAAATACTGTTTATCTGTGTGTTTGTCAATATAAACAATCTTTGCTGTTAGTTTACTCAAACACCAAGTTGTACTCACAGACTGTATATTCAACACCACACTGCCCCCTGGTGGTAAGTTTTCTTTAAACATTATGTACTGAAAAACTTTGTTTCCATTTGGTGGTTTTATTTATTCGTTTTTTTTTGTTTTTTTTCCAAGTTGAGATTCTTGTTTACTGATTTCACCTTTTTGTCCTGGTTCACCAGCAAGTCCTACAGGTCCAGAAGGTCCTGGTTCCCCGTGAGCACCTGCACAAATCAAACGCATGAGACCCTGGAGAGGTGCATTGTTTCTAAATCAGGATAGATGTTTAACCCTCACTGCTAAAAGCTTGATGAGTCTCTCACCTTTCAGTCCAAAACCTGGAGGTCCCGTATCACCTCTGGGCCCAGGTGGACCCTCACGACCCCTGATACCTGATGGGCCCTCCGCTCCATGTTCACCTGAGCAGACACTTTGTTAACAGACCTTCACTCACTCATAGTTCTGTGACATGAAGCAGCACAAACACTCACTGTACCTTGGCTTCCTTTCTGTCCTTTTGGACCCTCGGGGCCAGGATGTCCCATTGGACCTGGCGCACCTGAGGTCACAGGTCAAAGTCAGAAAAAGGAAGTTCTTTAACAGTAAGAGTAGACAACATAAAGCTCAGCAGGTGGAAAATGACTACTCACCTGGAGATCCAGAGAAACCAGAATCTCCTGCAAAAATATTAACGTGTTTTTAATTTTCAGTATAAAAGCAGAATTTCAATTGAAAAATGAAAAATCTGGTAATAGTGATTCAGCAAATCAACAGAAAAATAAAAGCTTGTCATTACAGTGTTTGACAAATTACTGTATGTATAGATTATATATATATATATATATATATATATATATATATATATATATATATATATATAAGCAGGTGTCACCTTTAGGTCCAGGTAATCCCCTCTCTCCCTGCACTGACGTTGCAAGAACAGCTGAGGCAGAAAACAAGATGTCAGTAAACAGGCTTGGTTGATGCATGTGTGCGTGTTTTCATGCCGTACCTCTGAATTCCTGTGACTGCACCTCAGATCGTAACATTTGCTTTATGGCCATCAGAAGAACTGCATCATCTACGTATCTTCCACTCAGTCTGGTGCCGAGGCCAGTACCACCACTGAAGCTGGTACCACCACTGAAGCTGGTACCACCACTGAAGCTGGTTCCATCACTGTAGCTGGTACCACCAGCACCAGCACCGCCACTCAAACTGGTACCACCAGCA